ATCTTCCACGGCTAGTCAACTTGATCGAAGACTCTTTCGGGCGCAAACTCGACATCGAACATTATCTGAAGCGTATCAATGGTAACCTCGCTGGTGTTATCATTGCGGGCGAATACGAAGGAGGCGCCCTTCTGACATGGGAGAGTCCCCCTGGGACGACAGACCCAAGCCGACGAGTGCCGTACCTAGACAAGTTCGCTGTTCTCCGCAAAAGCCAGGGCGCGGGCGGCGTGGCGGACATTGTGTTCAACGCCATGGTCCGGGACTGCTTTCCCGAGGGTGTGTGTTGGAGGAGTCGAAAGGACAATCCCGTCAACAAGTGGTATTTTGAGCGGTCGCGGGGTACGTTGAAGCTCAGGGATATGAACTGGACCATGTTCTGGACAACGCCAAAACTGGCATTAGATGACCAGAGATTCCGCGACTATGAATCCGTGTGCCGCGGTATAGAACCGTCGTGGGCGGATAAGAAGCACATAGTTGACTAACAAAAATAAAAATAAAAACTACAAAAATATTGGAACGGGCTATAAACGGAATAGTATGACTTTGTTGTATCTTTTGCACTCGACGCGAAAATACACGGGAATTCACATGGCAAATTGCAGTGGTTCATCGCGTTCGATAAATTGAAGATGGGATTTGTTATTGTCCTATGCTGGTCCAGACATGGCGTCATTCGTTCATTTCGGCTCGTAATTTGGAACCGCAAGTACGTGATGTCTATGCCGCACCTGCTCAGAGACCCCGGGGGTAAGAACAGGATATCTATCCTGAGTTTCCCTGATGTGAAGAATAACTTTGAAAAAAAAAACCCCCCAAGAAACTCAAAGCTTACTGGTCAAAGAAATCTTCTAGTGTAGGTGGGAGTTACATCATCTATTGTGCTGCATGGCGGGGCGGTCAGGAAGGGGGGAAAAAATAGATACTGACCCCACCATGACTCGAGAAGCGATATGGCTGATAGACCGCGATAACACTGGAGGCGGGGTGATAAGGGGGGTTGGCAGGGGGTGGTTGTAGTCGTCATGCCTGGCCAAGACGGCTGTGACGGGACGGAAGAGAGAGTGAACAGTATTAACAAGAAAAAGCGTGGCAGGAGAGAGCCAGACAGCACTTGGCGACACATAATATTGAGCAGGAATTACCTAATTGCACGGGTTCGCGGACAAGGCTGGCGGTGGCTGGCTGCTGCTGCCCCGGTGGTCCGCATGCGTTGCAAATGTTTGGATGCTGCGTTGTTGCTTGAAGCGTCTAGAAGTTTCGCGCGGCAGCAGGTTGTGCTGGGCAGGGCCCCGCCCCGGGGCGTGTTGCTAGGGAGGGGTAGCCCGGGTGAGGCTAGCCTGGACCAAATTCGACCACAAGACGGCCCTGGATCCCTCCTCCTCCCACCTTATTAGGTAGTCAGTACCTGTAGTGCGCATTTGGGCAGCTTTTTTTCCTCTCCTTATTTAAAGAATCGCTCTTCGATCGTGGTGCTTTAGGCAGTGACTAGAACACATCCAACGTAACTGCAGACGACTGGTTTCACAGTATCTCCGACCCCCGCCGACCTCCCGACCTTCTTCCACTCACCGCTGCGGCTGGTTCCTGTTCCGCTTGCTCTGTTTGTTGTTGCTTCACTCGCCAAACAGCCCGCCTGCACCGATTCTCAACCGAGAATTTCATTCAGCGAATCCACTCTCACTCTCACTGGTTTACCTTTCCCTCAGACAACATGAGTGTCGTTGGTATGTTCCCCCGCCCAGACACCCGGGTCACCAGACACTCCGGCGCATCTGTTTGTGTTCTGTCTGCTAACCTCGGTGCCCTCCAGGTGTTGATTTCGGAACGCTCAACACAGTTATTGCTGTAGCGAGAAATCGAGGCGTCGACGTCGTACGTCACACCCCTCCCCTCGTCCATTTAAATAGTAGCACGACCTTGTCCATAAGGCTGACATATGATTTGGCTGATTAGATTACCAATGAAGTCTCCAACCGTGCGACGCCGTAAGTACTACCCACTTTGCTGATGATAACTCGTCCCAACTGACGCCCGCTTCAGTTCCCTCGTAGGATTCGGCCCCAAATCCCGCTACCTCGGCGAGCCGGCCAAGACACAAGAGATCTCCAACCTCAAGAACACCGTCGGCTCCCTAAAGCGTCTTGCTGGACGCGCTCTCAAAGACCCCGAGGTCCAGATCGAGCAGCAATATGTCTCGGCCGCCCTCGTAGACTGCAACGGCCAGGTGGGCGCCGAGGTCTCGTACCAAGGCAAGAAGGAGAAGTTCACGGCTACACAGCTTGTTGCTATGTTTTTGAGCAAAATCAAGCACACTGCCGCCACTGAGCTCAAGCTGCCGGTGGCTGATGTAGTCCTGAGCGTGCCGCCGTGGTTCACCGACGTCCAGCGACGGAGCATTCTCGACGCTGCCGAGATCGCCGGCCTCAAGCCGCTCCGAATTATGAACGACACCACCGCCGCCGCCTTGGGCTACGGTATTACAAAGCTTGATCTGCCCGCCGAAAATGAGAAGCCGCGTCGTGTAGCCTTCATTGACATCGGCCACAGCAACTACTCTTGCTCCGTTGTAGAATTCAAGAAGGGTGAGCTAACCGTCAAGTCGACCGCCTTCGATCGTCACTTTGGTGGTCGCGATTTCAACTTGGCTTTAGTCAATCACTTCGCAAAGGAGTTCAAGGGCAAGTACCGGATTGATATCGCAAGCAACCCTAAGGCCACCGCCCGTGTCGAGGCCGCCGCCGAGAAATTAAAGAAGATCCTGTCCGCTAACCAGCAAGCCCCGTTAAACATCGAGTCACTCATGAATGATATCGATGTGAACGCTATGGTCACGCGGCAAGAATTCGAGGCCCTCGTCGAGCCCCTTCTAAACCGGGTTGCTGCACCGTTGGAGCAGGCGCTTGCCGATGCCAAGCTAACCAAAGATGATATTGATTACATTGAGTTGGTTGGTGGCAGCACCCGTATGCCGTCTATCAAGGAAAGAATCCAGGCCTTTTTCGGCAAGGGTCTTTCATTCACTCTCAACCAGGATGAGGCCATTGCCCGGGGCTGCGCCTTCGCCTGTGCTATCTTGTCGCCCGTCTTTAAGGTCCGCGATTTCTCCGTTGCGGATATCGTCCACTACCCGATCGAATTCTCATGGGAGAAGGACGTGGATATTCCCGATGAGGATACGAGCTTGACTGTATTTAACAGAGGCAATGTCCTGCCTTCCACCAAGATCCTCACTTTCTACCGGAAACAGCCTTTTGACTTGGAGGCACGATACTCTAAACCCGAGGATCTCCCCGGCAAGATTTCTCCCTTTATTGGCCGTTTCTCCGTCAAAGGAGTCAAGGCCGACCCCAAGACCGAATTCATGATCTGCAAACTTAAGGCTAGGGTTAACATCCATGGTATCTTGAATGTGGAAAGCGGTTATTACGTCGAGGACCAGGAAGTTGAGGAAGAGATCAAGGATGAGAAGACGGAAGATGGCGAGAAGAAAGATCCTGATGTGAGTGTTGCCTCCTAATGATTCTACTAGGCCGATCGGCTATTTGGTAAAAATGGCTTTAACTGATCTATTTCCCCTAGGCTATGGAGACCGATGATAAGAAGGCCGATGGTAAGGCTAAGACGCGAAAGGTGAAGAAGCAAGTTCGGAAGGGTGATCTACCTATTGTTGCTGGAACCACCTCCATCGACCCGAACACCAAGAGCAGCCTGTTTGAGAAGGAGGCAGCCATGATTATGGAGGATAAGCTAGTGGCCGACACAGAGGAGAAGAAGAACGAACTGGAGACTTATATTTATGACATGCGTAACAAGCTAGACGACCAGTTTGCCGACTTCGCTAGTGAGGAGGAGAAGGACAAGCTGAGATCTAAGCTCACCGAAAGCGAGGTAGGTTTCCATGTCCTCTATATCATTAATGCAGTGTAGCTGACTCTTGGTAGGATTGGTTGTACGAGGAGGGCGAGGACGCCACCAAGGCTGTCTACATTGCCAAGATGGACGAAATCCGTGCCATGGCCGGTCCCATCACCCAGAGATACTTCGACAAGGTCGAGGCTGACCGGCAGGCGCTGCAAGCCAAGCTTGACGCCGACGCGGCGGCAAAGAAGGCGTCCGAGGAGGAAGCCCGTAAAGCAGCCGAGCCGGAGAAGGCCGAGGGCAACAAGGACGAGGAGATGACGGACGCCGAACCCGCCAAGCCCGAGGTCGAAGAGCCCGAGTCTTAGAAGTATTTGCCCCAAAAACGGCTAGGCAGGGGACGCGGTGCGCGGAATGAGGATACGACACCGGCGAAAAGGTTAAAAAGTAATGACCGCAATGAAGCTGGCCGGGACTGAATGGGAACGATGGGTTTGGGAAGAAGTCTCCTCCGATCCTGAGGGGATATTGCGGTGTTAGAGATAGACTACGGCCGCCCGGTTAGTACACGAGGCGGGCTGTCGATTTGAGATAGACCTTATCCGGATACGGTATACTCATGATTTTAATATCTTCTTTCATTGCTGTGATGTCCAATAAGAAGTGCGATGCCAAGTGAAGTTGTTCTCTCTGAGAACATGCAGTTGTTGCCATATTAAGATCAGTACAACCAGGTTTGTCCAGCAGTTCTACAAAGCTGATGCCTAGCAGTAGTAATTCACAGTAGTTGACAGTATGTGTGTGAATTGCATGTAGAGTTGCTATCATGATGTAACCTGTGACCCCTAAAGTTGAAAGTAGAGCAACGCTTCATAAACTCCCAAGAGAATATGAGAGTTTCAGGACAATTTTCTCGGCATGCCTCCTTCTCTATAACCTACAGACTTTGTCCCTTGAACAGATGATGCTTTGCTACAAGTACAAAACGGAATAACTTCCAAAACATACACACACCCTCACTTAAACACAGTTACACAGAGAAAGACCCACAATCCAGTACCCCTCCACCCCCCCTTCTCCCTTCCCAATGATAGGCCCCACGAGAGGGACCGAACACCATCACTCAATCAATGAGCGGCCGCGTGGCCTAATGGCATGGCGTCAGATTTCGGTTATCCAATAGAAGATAATTTATTCTCTGAAGATTGTCGGTTCGAATCCGGCCGTGGTCGACCAGTATATTTTCTATCCGAATTGGTGTAGTGGCTAACATTTGACGCTCTCATCCGCTCTCCTCCCTCCTTAATCAGAGGTTAAGAAGTAGTATTTGTGCCGTCAAGCCCGGGGTTCGATTCCCCGATTCGGAGTACATTTTTCTCGTCTAGCCCAGTGTAATCCTGATCATACCTTTTTTATTTGTTGGATATCTTTCTTGGCTGCTGGTATTGTTTACCTAGCTTGAGGGGGATCTCCCGAGGTCAGCGCAGGCTTCACTTCTCTATAGTACTGTAGGTAGTTTACCTAGACGTGGGGCTGTAGAAATGCTTGAATGCTTATCGATAACAGATAAGATGTCCTTTACTCGCTTAAATTCTTATCCAACCCCCGGCCCTTCGGACTTTTGGTGCCGTCTCCGGGGACAATTGAAGGATGCCAGGCTCAACAGCACTGGGCCTCCAGTGTAGGCAGCTCACAAAATTAATTTACCCACCTGAAAGAAACGTGTGCAGCTTCCCGTAGGCGTCATACATAGTGTAAGCCGGCCAGCCGCCTCTGACCTTTCCCACTTCCCACCTCCCACACCCACCCACATCGACCCGCTCCACTACCAAATACCAGCAAATACCAGGCCCTACCTGCTAACCCTCTCGCCATCCAGTGAGGGAGACTGGAGACAGTTTTTTTTTTTTTTTTTCCGCCTGCAATCTCTTTTGCCCTCGGAGATAAGCCTACGAGACCGTGCCATGTCTTGGAAGTTTCTGGGACGTGACTTCAGACTAGACCCGTTACCTGATCTCTCCTCGGTCGTCTAAACATCGCACCTCTCACCCCACCTCGCCTCATCTGTCCGGCTACTCGCAGACCCCCCCGCGACCACGACCCGGCCACAGACACAGATTCCTTTGTGACGGCCATTCAATTTCGCTGCGTTTTGCTACGTAGTAATACCCTGCAACGCCATCGACAGCATCTGCCAGTAACCCAACCAGACCGCCACGATGCCGCCTAAGAAGAAGGGAGGTAAGAAGGCCGCTGACGACTGGGAAGCCGACCTTGGGGAGTCCATTGCACCCACAAATGGCGATGCCGCTCCTGCCGCCGATGCTCCCGAGGAAGGGGCCGAGGACGGTGATGCGCCCGTCGGTGGCCTCATGGCAATGATGAAGAAGAACCGAGAGAAGCGGAAGAAGAAGGGCTTGTCCGAGAACTTCGTCGACGGCGACTCCGCCCAGCCCGCCACCCCAGAGCCCACCGACATCAGCGCCTTCAAACCGCCCCAGGAAACCACGGCAGAAGACGAGTTTGCCCTACCAGAAAAGAAAGGGAAGGGAGGGAAGCAGAACAAGAACCAGCCTGCTGCCAAGGCTCCCGCCGCCGCTGCTGCTGATGTAGACGATGCCGGCGACGGCAGGATGCTCACAAAGGCTGAGAAGGAGAAGCTGAGGAAGGAGCGAGAGAAGCAGAGGAAAAAGGAACAGGTGGGTACTATCACGCATCTGAATTGATTCCATGCTCTAACAGTTGCTGTTTTGTCTAGGCTGCGAAGAAGAAGACCACCGCACCTGCACCCGCTGCTAAAGCCGCAGAACCTGTCAAAGCCGCCGTTGAAGAGAAGAAAGAGGCCCCTGACCCCGCTGCCGCTGCAGAAGCCTCAGCGAAAAAGGGCAAGAAACTTCCGCCACATCTAGCCGCCCTCCAGAAGCAACAAGAGGAGCTACGGCGGCAACGTGAAGAAACCGAACAAGCTGCCGAGGCCGAGAAAGCCCGCCTCGAGGCACTAGAGAAGGAGGAAGCCGAAGAGAACAAGCGAAGGGAAGAAGAGAAGGCCCGTAGAAAGCAGAAAGAAAAGGAGAAGATTGAACAGCTGAAGAAAGAAGGAAAGTATCTTACCAAGGCCCAAAGGGAAGAAAAGGCTCGCAATGAGAGGAAGCTGCAGCAGATGATTGCGGCCGGTCTCCAGGTTGGGCCCTCAGAAGACGGTGAGGAGAAGAAGAAAAAGGTCACATACGACAGCAAAAAGCGGGGCAAGAAGACTGACCAAAAGGTTGTCCCCATTCTCCCGTAGATCGCTTATGCATTATCTTTGCTAATTATTTTGTAGGTGGATGAAGAGAAAGCCCTAGCCGAAGCTGCTGAGCGGGCCAGAATACAAGCTGAAGCTGCAGCGAAGGAGGCCGAAGCCAAGGCCGCCGAAGAAGCCGCTGCCAAGGCCGCCGCTGAGGCTGCTGCTAAGAAAGCTCAGGCAGAGGATGAGATCGAGGATGACTGGGAGGCTGCCGCGGCTTCAGGGGACGACGTCAAGGACAGCTGGGACGCTGATTCAGACGAAGAGGCCGAGAAGAAAGCCGCCAAGGAATCCGCCAAAGCCTTAGCTTCACGGCGGAAGGCCGCTGCGTCCGGATCTGAGTCTGAGTCCGAATCAGAAGAGTCCTCCGAGGATGAGGAGACAACAGCTACTCGAGCTGCCGAGGTCAAGCGAAAGAAGGAGGCCGCCGAGCGAAGAGCAAAAGCGCACCAGGCTGCTCTGGCTGCCAGATCCAAAGAAAACCTTCGGAGTCCTATCTGCTGTATCTTGGGTCACGTCGATACCGGAAAGACCAAACTGCTGGATAAGATTCGACAGACAAACGTGCAGGAGGGAGAAGCGGGTGGTATTACACAGCAGATCGGTGCTACATACTTCCCAGGTTTGTCACATTGTCGACTCCACGGTTCAAATCAGCTACTAATATTCTTTCGCCAGGCGAGGCTATCAAGCAGAAGACTGCTGTTGTAAACCAGGACGGAAAATTCGAATTGAAGGTCCCAGGTCTTTTGATTATCGACACACCTGGTCACGAGTCTTTCTCCAACTTGCGTTCCAGAGGTTCCTCGCTTTGTAACATCGCTATCCTGGTTGTCGATATCATGCACGGTCTCGAACCTCAGACCCTTGAATCGATGAAGCTGCTTCGTGACCGAAAGACACCCTTCATTGTGGCACTCAACAAGATTGATCGTCTATACGGTTGGAAGAAGGTAGACAACAATGGGTTCCAAGAGAGTTTGGCCCTTCAGAGCCGAGGGGTGCAGAACGAATTCAAGAATCGATTGGAGCAGACCAAACTCGCCTTTGCCGAACAAGGGTTCAACGCTGAATTGTACTACGAGAACAAGTCGATGGCCCGATATGTTTCATTGGTCCCAACCTCCGCTCACACTGGCGAGGGTATTCCGGACATGTTAAAACTCATTCTGCAGTTGACTCAGGAAAGAATGGTTGGTTCACTCATGTATCTTTCAGAGGTTCAGGCCACTGTCCTCGAAGTGAAAGCTATTGAGGGTTTTGGTATGACTATCGATGTTATCTTGTCGAACGGTATTCTCCGGGAAGGCGATCGGATAGTCGTTTGTGGTGTCGAAGGTGCTATCACTACGAATATTCGAGCGCTACTTACTCCGGCGGTCATGAAAGAATTGCGTGTCAAATCCCAGTATGTACACAACAAGGAGGTGAAGGCAGCCATGGGTGTCAAGATCAGTGCACCTGGTCTTGAAGGCGCTATTGCTGGTTCTCGGTTGCTCGTGGTTGGTCCTGACGACGATGAAGAAGACCTAGAAGAAGAGGTCGAGGCGGATTTGAACAAGCTGTTCAGCCGTGTATCTACGTCCGGACGAGGTGTCAGCGTGCAAGCGTCAACCCTTGGTTCGCTCGAAGCCCTTCTCGATTTCTTGAAGGATTGCAAGATTCCCGTGGCCAACGTGGGTATCGGCCCTGTTTTCAAGCGTGATGTGATGCAGTGTGGCACGATGTTAGAAAAGAGCCCCGACTACGCTGTCATGCTCTGTTTCGACGTCAAGGTGGATAAGGAAGCTCAGGCATACGCCGAGGAGAACGGCATCAAGATCTTCACAGCCGACATCATTTACCACTTGTTCGACTCCTTCACGAAGCATATGGAGGAGCAGCTCGAGAAGAAGAAGGAGGAGTCGAAGTTGCTCGCCGTCTTCCCCTGCGTCCTCAACACCGTGGCCGTCTTCAACAAGACTAACCCCATCGTCGTGGGTGTCGATGTGGTGGATGGTAACCTCCGCGTGGGCACGCCGATAGCTGCCGTGAAGCAGAACCCTACCACGGGTGCCAAGGAAATTATTAGCTTGGGCCGAGTGTAAGTTGACCATTCTTCGACGCGATATAGACTTATTTGTTTTATTATATTTTCTTGGTCATTTCACTAACAAGCTATATAGATCATCGATTGAAAGAGATCACAAGCAGATCCCGATCTGCAAGAAGGGACAGCCCTCGGTGGCGGTCAAGATTGAAATGGGCGGGCACCAGCCGACATACGGCCGACAGCTCGAGGAGCCCGACACGCTGTACAGCTTGATCTCGCGTGCCAGTATCGACTGTCTGAAGGAATTCTACAGGAAAGAGGTCACGAACGACGAGTGGTCGCTTATCATCAAGCTCAAGCCGCTGTTCGACATCAATTAGGGGGTAGGTGGAACTAACGGTGGTAAGAAAAGACGGCTACCAGGACGGAGACCTGCGGGGTAAGGGGCATGTATGTATGCATCATGGTTAAACATTACATAACATACTGAGCGCTTGTGTTGCTGGTTGGTTGGTTGGTTGAACCCTGGCTACCTTACCTAGCGGTGACACTTACTTACTTGTATGTATGTATTTATGAATGACTGAGCGGATGAAATCGGTAAAATGAATGGTTTATGGGTAGTTTAATGGAATTTGTTACGTTACTACTTCCTGCTGCTTTAGTTAATATCACTAAGTACGATGATGGGTTATATATCTTTGTCTGTTTATTTATTTACTCTCACTTTATAAAGCAACCAATCGACCCTTATTGCTTGTTGTCGTGAGTAAGTAAGTTGTATGTAACCTCGCCAATACAGCTCATTTATGGTTTGAGGGCATCGCTAGTAATAGATTTATTTCTCTTATAGATAGATTGAGATCTTTGTTGATTCTTAGTTTTTCTAACTCTTAGTCAACAGATATTTACTTTATTTAGGTCGACTGGCTTCCAGTTGCGTGTGGGGCTAGTGATCTCCTCAGTAGTATCAGCTTTGTTGTTTCCGGGGGTGGTGATGCTGTCTGTGGTGTTCGTTCCTCTTACACTTCAGCTCGTCCAGTAATATT